GGGTAGGTGGTGCATGCATGTACCCCAGGAGGCAGAGGCTAGGATCTCTGACTTTAAGGCCAGTCTGATATCTAGATCAGTGAGGCCAAGACACAGAAAGACTCTGTGTAAAAAAAGAAAAACCTATTCAGCTCGTAGTCCCTGATTATGCAAACCATAGGTCCCTTCCCCTTATAGAATGAAAAGCTGCTTAGAGGAAAGTGGGGGAGAAAAGAAAGGATTCCCATATGGGAAGGGATCCTTAAGAAAAGCATTTTTAAGAGACGTTATAACCTTCCAAGAAGAACACTAACATGCAATTTAAGGTAGTAATGAGATCATCTGTACCCAATATACTGACAGACTGCAAGTCACAGAAATCCAAACAGCTCTGCTTTATCATCCAACTCTCAGAAATAACACTGATCAGACCGTATGGGAACAGATACTAAACAGTAAAACTGCGCAAACATCTAAGCTGTAATATTACCATTTACAAAAGGAATAAAACAACCACAAAAGCACCATTTCTACTAGATAATTCTAATATAATTTACAGCAAAGGTAAATAATTTATATGCTAAGAAAAACTGCCAGTTCCATACTCAGTGACAAGTTTCATAGCTTCTTTACAAGCTTGTCCTTCTTTTTAATCCTCCTCCCCCTGCCATCACCTTCCCCCCAGCCGTCCAGTCCCGCATCGACTCCTCCCAACAGGTAAGGGCTCCCATGGGGAGTCAACAAAGTCTGACACATTAAGTTGGATGAGGACCAAGCCCCTCCCTGCTGCGTTAAGTCTGAGCATGGCATCCCCCTCATAGGGAATGGGCTCTAACAGGCTAAGGCTAGTTCTTGCACCAGGGGTAGATCATGGTCCTACTGTCAGGGGCCCCTCGGATAGACCAAGATTCACAACTGTCTCCTTCATATGGAGGGCCTAGTTTGGTCCCATGGAACAAGCCTGTCCTTCTAAACCTACTGAGCTCTTTGACTCTTACTTGATAACCAATTAAAGTCATTACTATTCAGTTGTGTAAGAAAACAGTGTCAGCAGTTAAAGGAGAATCCTAGCATTGGAATAAACAAAACATATTCTGAAACATTGGTCCTCCTACCAATGTATTCCTCAAGGCAAAATCAGATCAATGTTTTACAAATTCTTCCAACGAAGTATGCATGGCTGTCTGGTAGATGGGGGAAAGTTGGAAGCCGGCTTAAGATACCAACAGAACAAACTAAAGTGGCAATGAAGCCTAACAAGTCTGGAAGTGAGTCTGTACACAGCAGTATCAAACAATCACTAAGTTCCATGAGCACAAATCCACCCAAACAAGGGCTTAGCCATAGTTTTATATTGTCTGAGAAGCTTCATGTATTAGGTTGTACAAATTTAGGGATTAAAATTTATTCTTTTAAAAGTAGAACTTATTTTGAAACAAATTGTGGTTTAGTATTTAATCCTCTTTATATTCTAATATGTACATTTAGACTAACAGTTCATGGGTTTTCTAAATCCAAAAATTTCCAATCAATCATTTATGGCAACTCAACACATTTAAAAATCTTAAAGAACCCAATAACAAAAAGCTTACCAAAAAGTTAAGTTCAGTTTTTGAACAGAAAAATCTGAGTGAATTGTGTGTTTGTATGTGGACAAAAATTTTACTGTCACTTCTAGTAATGAAATTAATGAACAACCAACAACGACAACAAATCAAATGATTACACAATGAGCCTAGCTTCTTGTGTAAGGTAAAGGATTCAGACAGTCCTCTTTGGGCTGTTCCATAATCACGTCATGGATATTAATGGTGGTAATAGCAACACATATTATTTCTCTAAGTGTCCTCTAAAGTGTTCATAACACTGTCCTTAATTACGTCATTACTAGACAGAAATACTGTAAGAGAACTAGTGTAGGGAAGAAAAGTTGACAAAGACAACATAATGACCATATTTAAACTAATGTTCAAAATAATGAAACTGATATTACATACCTAATAACACAATGTATGAGTTAGTGTGAGGAAAAAACTCATATAAAAATCAAATCATTAAGGAATTATGCTTATTTCTTTCATCTGGTCATCTTAAATAGGAAAGAAGATACTTAAAATCACTGTACTTTACGCCGGAAGGACAAAAAGGAAAATGTACTGCCTCCAAGCACTTTTTTCTACTAAGAGGATGAAGAAACTTGTACAGCTACCTCTGTGAAACAGCTACATCTATAGGCAGCCATGATAAAGTATGCTTTTCTGCTTTTACCCCATCAGAGCTTAGAACCAAAGTCAATGTTTTACACCTAACCACTGAGCTAACTCCCCAACACCAGGCCCAAATTCCTAATCATGGAAAAAATGAAACTGTTTTCCAAGTCTTTTATCCTTTAGAAAAAGAGTATAAATCTGAAAAAAAAAGTATTTCTTTTCAAAAAGATAAGAATACATATTTATTTGTAAACTCCACAAGCTTTTGAGTTCTTTGGCATTTATTTAAATGTTGTCATCAACTCATGTGATTTACTCTAAAATGAAATTAAAGGGCAAATTACAGTGAAATTTATTATTTTCTTTTCAATTTGAAATAGCTGGTAAGATTTTTCAAAGATATTTTAATAGAGTTTCTTTCCCCTTTAAAGTTTTATATTTTGTTCTATAATACATATACATTGCCAGGGGCAGCTGGCACACACTATTAATTCGGAACTTGGAAGGCAGAGGCAGGAGGATCTCTGAGGTTAGCCTGGTCTACAGTAAAGTTCCTGGACAGTCAGGTCTGTCCTAGAAATGCAAAAAGAAAGTGACTATTTTAACAGCCAAGAACATTCCTAGAATGTTGAGAGTATTTTAGACCCAATGAATGCAGGTGCACTCCGAACCCTCTGAGCACTCAACCACTCAATGTCAATGGCTACGAGGACTTCTCCATCAGTTTACAATGCCTGCTTCAGCATGGAAGTCACATGGAATACTGCTACACAACCTAACTTTCAATAACCTTAAAAGGAAAGCCTAAATTTTTAATACAGCTTCCAGGTATATTTTAAATCAAGATTTTCTTACTAACTCTTGTTTCTACACTAACTTTTAACTGCTGAAGCTAGCTTCTGTGGGTTTCTTCCAGTTCTAACACCAGGAGTTCCTAAATAAATATGAAGTTTCTAAGTCTTAGCAAGTGACACTGTTCATCTGGTATGGCAGAATGCTGACATTAAAGTCAGTTCTTTTTCCTATCCTTTGGGGGCTACCAGAGACTCATTTTCTAATATGCAGTAATTCCTCTAAAACCCAGCCCCCAGGACTGCGCACACAGCTCAGGCAATGAGCACTACATGCACAAGGCCGTGGGGGCTGAGTCACTCGAATCAAGACACTTCATTTTTTTCACATATATTTTTTAAATCCAATAATATCGATGAGAGAATGGAAGAAATGATGAACTGGTGAGAAGAAATGCTACTTAAAAATGCTTGGATATTTTTCAGATGATTAAAAACAAAAAATCTACAGATAAACAATGTTATTCAGAAGACATTCCAAGAAAAAGAAAAAAAGATCTTACATCCCTCTTTTCCCCAGGTCTTATTAAACACAAATTAACCTCAGCCTCACCATCTTAAAAAAGGCCAGTACCTGGTGAAAAACAGACAGGTGTGATGACGCAGTTTGTAATCCTAGCTCCTGGGAAGCATGTACTGTCAAATCAACTGGGTTCAATGGTCAGCCAGCCTAACCTACTTAGTGAACTGAGGCCAAGGGAAGACCCTAACTCAAAGTCAAAGAAAGGGGTTGCATGCACTCATGCACGCACACACAGAAACGGGAATCTACATCTCGGTACTGTCTCCCAACGAAAGCGGTAAGACTGAGAACTGGAACAAAATAAATGAACACATGTGAATGGGCACAGCGGTTATGCCCATATCCCACCTCTCAGGAGACAGACACAGGAGGTTACTCTGAGTCCTGATCTTTATAGGGAGGCCCCTGCCAGCCAGGGCTACATAGTGAGTCTGTCTCAAAAACAAAATGAAATAAATAAAAGTATGCACCTACATGTAGATGTACAAATGAACTTTTTTAGTTATTGGTAATGACTTGCCTGCAGCTCATCTTGTTAATGTTATGGCTAGCTAGCAAGGTTAAATGTGGGAAAAAAACAGCATAAACAGAACATGAAATACAGTAAAATAGAAAATCTAGAACCTTAAGCTCTCCATCTTTATACAAAGCAGCAGTTTCCTAATGAAAAAACTATTACCAATTAAATGTCTAGACAACAACATGAAGGTAATACAACAGAACAAATGCAGAATTACAGAAATCTGCATAAAGTTACTTCCATCAGGTGGAGAAAACAGAAAGTATGATAATACAACTGGAAATCTTACAAAGCATTATCAATATTCACCTCACTGATTCCATAATTAACACATAATTAGGGACTAGGAGTCAAGGAGGACTCTGGGAAATGTAGTCAAGAGTAGGGAGTCGCCATGTAATCCCGGGAAGAGAGGACACATGAGGCTGTGTCCTCGGTAAGATAAGACCTTATAAAAATGTCTGTTAGTAATTATGGGTTAATAATTAAGTCAGAGCTAGCCATTAAGAAACCATAGCAAATGGACAACAGCTTCATAATATATATATTGTCTCGTGTGTTATTTGGTGGCTGAAAAGCGATGGGACACAGGCAGCTGGCAGGAAAGAGTGTTAAGGCTGAGATTAAACATAATTGTTTAAAATACATGCAAAGATATGCTTTTATTATGTAAAGATATAATAAAAGATAGTCATTTACTAAAAACAATACCAGAAATAAAATCAAAATTGTAACTATTCTGAGCAAAGGCAAAAGCACTATTTTCTATTGCCTTCACCCAGATAGAATGTTAATCAAAAAGCCATACAAAATAGAAAACAGTATTTTGCGACAATGCAAAATGAAAAATTCATGGATTCAAAAATTTTTAAAACAAATATATGCATTTTCTTTAATATCTTCAGGGAGGAATTTACCGTTTTGTGCCCATTCTGGCAGGCTACATGCAGTGCTGTCTGCCCCATCGCATCCTCAACATCCACATCACTGACATGTTGTACAAGGTCATGGAGTAGCTCTGTCCTCCCATTCACAGCCAGCCAGTGAATCTGTGAAGTCATCTCATTATTAGCATTTGTGCAACAGTGTTTCCTTAAAAGTCAGTATATAAACAATGCTACTTCTCTGCTGAATACAATATTCAAAAAAGATACTATAACAGTTTTTTCCTGCTTTTAAATGAGAAAAACAAAACAAATGCATCAAGATGTTACCAAGAATTGAAGGACTCAAAACAGTAGATCACCAAATACTTTGTTTCTCTGATGACACTGGCCTCTAAACACAGCTGTTGCTGGAGAAAACAGTATCCTTTCTTTCCCAGAAGCAAATGGACATTCAAATAAAACATACTTCCTGTAGTTATAAACAGAAAATATAGCCTACACTAATAATAAAATATGTAATAATACCTTTAAAAAGAACTATAAAATACTTACACCACTGAAAGAGAATGTTAAATTTCCAATTAGGAAAAATAGAGGAAGCTGGGGAACAAACCTGTTACCGAAGCACTGGTAGGTAGGGGCAGGAAGATCAGGAATTCAAAACCAGCCTTAGCCATGTAGTAAACTGAGGCTAGCCCAATTTACAAGGAACCCAGTAACAGGAACACACCTTCAATAGCAGCACTGGCAAAGTGAAGGCAGATTTGTCTGAGATCCAGGCCAGCCTGGTCTACACAGTAATTTCCAGGACAGCTAGGGCTATACAGAAACCCTGTTTCAAAAAAGGAAAGAAATCCTGTCTCAAAAAGGACTATTCCAGTTTGCTTTTCTGTAGCTGTAATAAAACACTGACCTAAACCAACTTGCAAGGGAAGGATTTATTTGGCTCACAGTTCCATATCACTGAAGGAAGTTAAGACAGGAACCCAAGCAGAAACCTGGAGGCAGGAACTCAAGCACAGAGCATGGAGGAACACTGCTTACTGACCTGCTTCCCTTGCCGGGCTCTTCCACTTTTCTTACAGTCCAGGTCTACCTGCCCAGGGACAGTACTATCCACAGTGGGCTGGGTCTTCCACATCAATCCCTAATCAAGAAGATGCTAGACTTCATCTGTCCACAAAGAAATACAGGCAAAGGAGGAAAGCAGGAGGAAGCAGTGGTAGTCTTCCTCACGGAAGGGCACAGCAACAGGTAGTCCAATGCCAAACAGTCAGTCCTAAAAACATGCACACAAGTAACATCCTACTGACTGAAGAGGCATGTGTGTGTGTGTGTGTGTGTGTGTGTGTGTGTGTGTGTGTGTGTGTGTGCAGGCAGGCTACAGGTAATGCTGTCTGTGCTGCTTACTTGTCAACTTGATGCAAATCACAAATCACCTGACAAGATGGACCCTCAATTCAGGATCTGCCTCCATCAGACTGGACTGTGAGGATGTCAGGAGGCATTCTGTTTCTTATTTTTAATCTAAATTTTAAAAATGATGTGTATATGAGTATAGTGTTTACAGAGGCCACAGACATTGGATCTCTCCGGAGTGGCCTTATGTGGGTGGCACACATATATGCATGCAATAGCAATTAGTGAAAACAGAGGCCACGAATTAAAAGGGGAACAGAGAAGGATATATGGCAGGATTTGGAAGGAGGAGACGGAGGGGGAGGGCAGTATTGGAGTTGGAGCAAGGGCTTGGTAGTGAAGAGTGTGTACTAGTCTTACAGAGGACCCAAAGTTGGTTCCCATTGCCCACATGGGGCCACTCCAGAGAGATCCAGTGTCTCCAGATTCTGTAGACACTGCCCTCATACGTACACATCAGGTTTTTTTTTTATTTTAATCCTTAAAATAAAAGAACGCCTCCTCTAACACGCCCACAGTCCAGTCTGATGGAGGCAAATCCTTAAGTGAGGGTCCTGCTTGCCAGGTGACTTTGATTTGTGGGTGTCAAGTTGACAAAAACTAAGCAGCACAAAAACCAACATCATGGTGCATTGTTAAACTCCTGTTCAGCACATACAGGCTCCAAGTTCAATCCTCAGAACTAAAACTTGGAGTGGGGGGGCCGACAATTTCAGACTAGATATTACACACAGTTTTCACTTGACTTTTTTTTTCATTACAAATATTAAGGTATACTTCCATGTCTTTAAAGTGCAGACTGATTACATATCTTTCAGCTTTAACACACCCCCACTGAAATAACAGCAAAAGAGCAGTTTTGAAGGAACCTGCCCATCAAGATAAGAGAGAAACAGAAGTTCCGTAAGCTATATTCTAAATGCAAGATCACCTTATGAGTAGATGCTATTATACTGCTAATATATACAAATTGGGATTTTTTTCACAGGAATTGCTGATTCCTGTTCATGACTGGTTCCACTCTATACTAAACCACTAACACTTCAAGTCTCACGGAAGCTTTCTCTTATGCCACACGTTAAAAAAAAAATGTAATAAAAGCTAGGTATGGTAGGACACCTTTGAAATCCCAACATATGGGAGTTGAGCCATACCTTCTGCTATGTCTTCAAAGAAGTTCCGCAGTAATCACATTACTTTATCTCTACTTCAAAAATAAATACTATTCAAATGAATTGTAATTATTTGATTAAAATTTTGTGATTTTTAACAATCCCTTCAGCAGTATCTAATACCATTTCCCAGTATATAAACCAAAAGTATACTAACTTATTTTTGCATCAAAAATGATTAACAGCAAAACAGATTTTAAAAACTACTGTTTTAATTACAATAAAACAAACCTGAAAGGATATGGATTAATAGTGTTTATCAGAGTACCAGGTATATATAGTGAACTCTATTCTCTTTGTTACCTAAAGGCATATGGAAAATAACTCTTGTATAATGAACTGGTAAAATACCTGGGTTTGTTTTTTTTTTTTTTTTTTTTTGCTTTATATTTGATTTCTTGAGACATAGTTTCTCTATGTAATCCTGGCTATCCTGGACCTCACTATGTAGACAAGACTGGTCTCACACTTGAACTCACAGAGCTGTAACTGCCTCTGCCTCCCAAGTGCTGGGATTAAAGGCATGCGCCACCATGCCCAGTACAGCTGGTAATACACACAGAAAAACTCCCTTAAAAGTCACTGACAGGAACTACAGGAATAAGGCTTGAAAATAAATGAAAGCTATAAATATAGAGAAGAAATGAACATAGTGAATATTACTTTTCTTAGTAAACTCATTGCGTACCTCACAAGCACTTTACAGAAGTAACCTGCAGAAACACTTGTACTATAATTTGCTTAGCAGCACATTCACCATTATTTTCTAGAGTATTTTTTAAAACTTCAGATAAAATTGATAGTACATACTGCTGTAAGGCCTTCATTATTACAAATGTTGACATCTGCACTGTATTCCAGTAATTTACTCATGCATTTCTTCTGTCTGAAAAGAAAAAAAAAACAGTAACAGATAACTAAGATGAAAAATGTACAAATGACAACTATTTGACTGAAATACTACATAGAAACAGTATCAGATTATAACTATCAATATCAGATATCTCTATCGACAGTTTCAAACTACAGATTCAATATGTAAATAAACACTATTTTGAAATAAAATAGAAAACTACCCAAATAACAGAGTAAAGAAACAACATAATTCGTTTTTTATTTCATTGAAACAAATTTATCATCCAAACTTCTGAGGAATTTCTACTCTTGACTAAATAAATCAAATTACTAGAAATTTCAAGCTTTGGCTAACTAAGTGGAGTAACAATCTTCATTTGAAATTTAAGAAGAAATACAATGGACACCACAAAATACCACATTGTTGTATCCCTACATTCTTGATTGCAAAATGTTTAAAATACTAAGACAAATTATAAACACAAGATCAGGCTGGGAATATAACATGATGGTAAAGCATTTGTTTAGCATGTTTGAGACCCTGGATTTGATACCCAGTAAGATTAAAAAACATAATCAAGAGTATTGGTAAAATGTCCCCCTCTCTACCTACATTTTAAAAAAATTATTACATATCTAAATAAAATTTATCATCTTAACCATTTTTATTTGCTTGATGGATTGACTGATTCTTCGAGACAGGATCTCAATACACAGCCCTGGCTGAATGGACTGCAGTTCACCATGTAGACCAGGACGGCCTCAGACTCAGAGATCTGCATGCCTCTGCCTCCCAAGTACTAAGGCAAAAGGCACGCCCAGTTCATCTTAACCATTTTTAAGTGTACAGATCTATACGGTATTTTAATTATCATGTCTTCTAAGGTTGAAAAATATTCTGTTATCTGTATATACTAAATTTTCCTCATCCATTCATCAACTGATAGGCACTTGGCTACTTCCATATCTTAAAATTATACACAATGTTGACATTCATACAATAACAAAACTTTCTGGCGCTTGCTTTTGATTATTTTGAGTATTTTGGATGTAAAAGGGCTAGACCACACAGAAATTCTACTGTGAAATGTGAGGCACTATCACATTGCTCTTCACAGCAGCTTTACCACCTTACATTGCCACCACATGGGCTGCAATTTCTCCACAGCCTGCCATGTCTTCTTTCATGGTTGTGTTCTTTGACAGCTGGTACTTCATTAGTTCTTCATTTCCTAACTAGTGATGTAACATGAATTCTAATTGGTATTAATAATAAAAACCCAGAGACAGATATTGGGGTTAAAGCTGAAGATCAGAGAAGCAAAGCGGCCAGCCACTAGAGAGCTCTCACCTTTACCAATGCTCAGATCGACAGGGCGATCCTGTCCTCAGACTGCATCTCCAGACTGCACTGCTCCTCAGACTGCACTGAGCTCCTGTCTCCTCCTGCCTTATATTCCTCTCTAGTGCTGGGATTAAAGGCGTGGGATCCCAAGTGCTGACATCACCATTGTGTGAGCTCTGTTTCTCTTTTAGCTCAGGGTCACCTTGAATTAACAGATATCTACCTCTCAAGTGTTAGGATGAAAGTGTGTACCACCACTGCCTGGCATCCATAGATGACTAGTGTGACTAGCTTTGTACTCTGATCTTCACTCAAGCTTTATTTGTTAGATCATAAACAAAATATCAGTACATGCTAATGCTAAGCATCTTCTCATGTACTCAATGATCGTTGTGTGTCCTTGATCTTTGTGTGTCCTTGAAGGTGTCTATTTAACTAACTACGCACTTCATTTTGCTCTCAAAACTCCCCGTAACTTTATCCATTCCTAGTTACTATCTAATATTTATATCTTCAACTCACCCCCACTAATGACTGCTCAAGATTCCTGTGAACATGATGGAACCACATGCTTTCTAAAGATTCATTCTACTGCTATCCTTCACACGGCACTCTACTTAGGAGACAGAGAAACACAGGTAACTGATAGATATTCAGTACTGAATTTAGAAGCTATGCTATAACCTGTAACATCAAGTTATTTACAATCTAATTGACTAAGTCATAATATAGCATGTATGTATTGCTTGATATATATAGCAGTATACCAAACATATGCAGTACATAACATATATTTACTCAACTAGTTCAAATACTTTTTTGTGTCATGGATTATATAATTGTTCAATCAAGTTAGTGCCAAACGTAGCCAGTTACATATAAATTCTTAATAAAAGTTTACCAATTGATTATAAACCTTCAACCTGAGTATAAATAGCTTGCATAGCAAAACAACTACTTTTTTTGTTTTGATTTCTGCCTCTTGAAACAAGGCTAAAATTCATTTAAAAATCTGCATTTCTATTTCTGCAAAGAAATAGAAAATAAAACTGAATAAATGTTGAAGTTTGCATTTATTCTCACAATTTCTATCTAAACATTGTTTGTAAAGATCTTAGAAATTCATAATAAACACAATCATAAGAAACGCATCTGACAGCTCTAAGTGACTAATACCCAACCCCAATTGACACATATGCAAAACCCTGTATCTCAGACTCAGGGAAACTCACACAACTGGGATAGAAGGACTACATAAGCCAAAAAAACAGAGTATTTTCTATGTGATAGTGTCTTCAGTATATAACAAGGAAGCTACATCTATGACCAACAACAATTAAACAAGACCAGCATAGTGCCAATACCAATTGACATGACAATGTAGATGGGAAATTCCAGTCTCACCTCAGATGAGGAGCTAACAGGTGGTCAATGCCTGCAAAGAGACAGAGCCAATCTCCTAAAGAGATGAGTGTTCAGCACTGAACAACCATGCATACAGCAAAGCAAAATGAACTCAGTTAACCTGAGGTTGCTCACAAAACTTCCTTATAGCCTGATCCAATCCTAGTTAGTATTATGCACATGTATGTATATACATGTAATAACAATGATTAAAAGATCATGAACTTGGTAAGCGGACAGGAGAGGAGTTGGATGGGAAAGAGGAGGGGTGGGCATGATAAAGATACAGTACTCAAGTACAAAATTCTCAAAATAATAAAATTGTTGTGGGATAATCTTTTTGAATACTGGGAATATGTGTCTCTACCAAGACACCTTTTGATTGGTTTAATAAAGAGCTGAACAGCCAATAGGTAGGTAGGAGAAGATAGGAGGGACATCAAAGTAAAAATAGGAGCTCTGGAAAGGAATGAAGAGGGAGACATGGAGGAAATCCGATATACCCTACATTCAGGAGAGGTGAGGAGTCACATAGCAGAAGGTAGATTAACATAAATGGATTAATTCAAGTTATGAGGGCAAGCTGAGAACAAGCCTAAGCTAAGGACAAAGTTAATAAGTTTCTGTGTCATTATTTGGGAGCTGGCGATCCAAAGAAAGTCCAACCACAATTACTATTTTTTTTAAATGCTGTTCCAAATGTATGCTTGTGACTATGTTCATCCAGATGGAGTTCTAAAACCTATCCAGACTCCAATGTAGACTGCTGGCATAGCTCCAAAATAAGCAGTCGGGTGGAAACAGGTCAGGGAAAGAGCATTTAAGGTGGGCTTGTTGAAGCAAAGTAACAATGAGTAATGTGCCCCCTTCTAAAACCAAATTGCAGAAGGTACAGGACAAGACAGAAGGAAAACATATCCTACCTTTCTTATTTAATAACCACTATCACTACTTTCCACAGTCTCTGTCAAAACAACCCAACAACTGAGCAGTTCTTTTGCTAAAATTTACAGTTAAAATACTAATGCTAGTTTTGCTCTTTATGAACTCATAATTTACCCTTCCAATGTTTTTAAAATCATGTTTCAAATCTGACCAATCTGTAACCTACAGATAAATGATTATTTCAAAGTCTTTCCTTTTAATTTTTCATATAATCGTGAGTAAGCCTGGATCTCCCACTTAAAGAGACAACTATTTTCCAGCACAGATAATAAATTAAGGAAGCTTATAGTGACCTAAGTGACACATAGCCCTATAAAAAGATTAATGGGACTTATATTAGAAAGCTGTTGGGCATGATGGCTCTCACCTACAATCCTACTACTTAAGAGCCTAATTCAGGAGAATTGATGAAAATTTGAACCAGCTTGAGCTACAAAGATCTTGTATTTAAAAGGAGAGGGGCAATACAAGACAGCACTAATGGTGACAGAAGAAATACAAACACTAAAGCAGACTAACAGACATATACTATGCATCTCACATCGACAGTTGAGGAGGCAAAAGAAAACTGAACCAGCCAAGAAGACAAAATTCTTACATTCATTATACTTCAATATGGACAAATATGATTTCATAATACAATTATAGTAAAAAGCTATCTCTGAAACTACTGTTCCAGAAGTATTGAATACTCGGTGGTTTACCAAACACTCAGTAAGCACTTCCATACTGAGCAAGGCAGATATTCAATGAGCAATAAAAGTTAAGGTATTTAAGTATTGAAAAGTATTGAACATCACACGTATTCTTGGTAGACATAAGGAAGGCATCCAAAGTAGAGAATAAGTCGTCCGCAACTTTTCATCTTGCTGACTGCTAAGTGAATTATGCATTATCTGCCCTACTTCTGAACCTTCAAAATGTTAACTTTTTTCAATTACTGCTAACAAGAATGATCAAAAGTTCTTTGTATGTTCTACTTACAAGGCTTTTACTTCATAAGAGCTGTACCTGAATATTCTTTCTAGAAGACCAAGACCATTCTGTCTTTGAGTTTGACACCTATTCCACGATCTTCACACACTGTGTGTCTGAGAGAACGTTTTCATCCCTCTTGTGTGCCAAGCTATCCTTTCCTTTGTAGTTGTTCAGAAACGCTATAAGATATGTAGCCATTCAAGAAAGATCTCTGCCATTATCCTACCAATATAATTAATGTATCTAAAAGGTAATGAATAATTTTATGACTTTGGATATGACATACTGCAACATATCTAATATACAAATAAGTTGGTCCTTTGTTATCTATCCAAAAGGTAAACAATAAAATTGGCTTATTCATGATGTGGGGCATATCAAATACACTTTAGATCAACTACTATACCTTTCCCCTACCCAAACTAGATTTAACTATGGTTCGTATTGTCTTGGTTCAATATATACACGTATATGAAAAAATTCGGCCTCAAGTTGATAAGATAGACAATTTTATCTCCATAGCCATTTCATATTTGTAGCTACTTCAATTATATAAAATTCCTGACCAGAACAGAAAACAAAAATATCTGTAAGATTAAAGATATACAACAAGTATACTGACAGAGAAAATTTACAACGTTTGAAAAAGATTTATAAATTTAAATTCATCAAGGCCTAGATCAAAGACTGCTTGTTTTCATTTTAAATTTTATTTCCATCATTTTGATACCATTTCTTATTCCGACAGAATTTTAATAAGCAAATAAATACCAGTGTGTTCTAGTTCACTTTCTACTGCTTTGTTAAAATGCTGACCAATTTGGGGATGACAGGGTTATTTTGGATGACATACCTCAGTCACAATCAACCAGTGAGGAAGTCCAAGCAGTAACTCAAGGCAACAACTGAAACAGACCATGGGGGGACGCTACTCATACAACTCAGGATCACCTGCCCTTCCCTGGCACTACCCACGGTGGGGTAGTTCCTCCCACAACAATCATTAATCAAGAAAATGCCCTGGAGCCTTCCCTACAAGCCAGTATGTTTGAAGCATTTTCTCCACTGAAGTTCTCTTCTTTCCAAATGACTCTACCTGTGTCAAGTTGACAAAGAACTAACCAGCACATGGGATAAAGGCAAAGAGATGTAACACCTGAAATAACAGGCCCAAAAAGACAAGAAAACACCATAAAAGGCATAGTAAGGCATAAAATAGCACACAATAGCAATGATATAAATCAATAATGACCAGAATTATCAAGAAGAAGCCAACAATGTACCTAATATACCATCTTTAGGTTTTCACATTTGGAAATACTAGTACTGTGTGAGTTTTATTATCTCCTTTTAACGCTTTTACTTAGGAAACTTTTTCACGGCTGTGATGGCTAACTTCAGCTGTCAAACTCTACTTGGTCTAGAATCCTGTGGAAGATCTTCAGCACTCTGACTAAAATCACGATTCCTGCCTATGGATGTGATGTGATCAGCCCCTCCAGCTGCACCTTCACTCCCACACCAGGAGAAACTAAAACCCTCAGCAAAGTAAGCCCTTTCTCCCTTAGCTGCTTTTGTCATAGCACTTTATTAGGGCAGCAAGAAGAGCAACTAAGATGACAGAGAAATGAGAAACGAGGTGAGGATAAAGATCAGTGGTTGGACATATAGCTACTACACTGTCAGTAAATAACAGAATAAAGAATAGCTTTAGTATTAAGAGTTACCCTTCACTAGAAAGATTACTCTTATATAACTCACTCTCCAACAACTATAAATTGTGTAATATATTAATAATTAAAATCCACTAATAAAATTAACTAAATCGTTTTAGAAATAGGCCAAGGAAAGTGGAAAGATTAACGAGAAAAACACAAAGTGGATTGTCCTTTTATCAAGTAATAACAACCCTCCATTTACAAGATTTATCTTGTTATCATTTACAAATTTAATATTTCTAAAGAGAAAAAGTAAGCATACGTCCTTAAAAGAAGAATGAAATCCTTGAATACTTTAGTCAGGACTGTTGGCGTGAAGAATGAAGAATGAAGTTTACCCGTTTCTAGCAGCCAGATGAAGGGGTGTACAGCCTGAAATGTCTTGATAGTTGGGATTTGCTCCTTTCTTCAATAGAAGAACCAGGCATTCCACAGATCCACAGCTAAAACAATATTAAAAAGCAGATACATTCAACAAACAGCCATTCTAGACAAAAATTTAAAAACAAAATCTATCAAAATCATTATTTTTAAGGTCCCAGTTTATCTCCTACTTAACTCATAACAAAAATTAATTATCCTCTGCCTTCAAGATGTTACATTCTACTATGAAGTTCAAATAATGCAAAAACACAATTAGTTTCTAAAAGAAACTATACAATATTGTTGACTTTCTGGGAGCTAGTTAATCATGAACAATTAGATTCAAGACTGCCACCTCAGTCCTGAAAGCAAGACAGATCCTGGTCAGTCAGTGCCAGGATGTGGATAAAAACAATACTCCGATCCTGGTAAGAATAGAAGAGCTGAGCAACAGGCCTATCCCTTCCAGTGGTAAGGGAAAGCAATCGCTGGTGACTGCACATGCTATACATCTAGACAATCCCTATGCCTCACCTAAAACAAGCTAGATCACATGAGCATGAGGCATGAGTTCCACATCACAGCTCACAATTTACAAAGGGGGTACACAGCACACCAAGGGTGAACAAGGCTGCCAACTCCCTTTTTTCCCCATAGCTTGTATCTGTCAAGACAGATTCAAGGCTTACATTCTTGCTCTAGACCAGAGTGTAAGGACAAATCTCAGGCTTACTTTGCTGCAATGTGAAGCAAGCTTCTCTTCACACGTCCAAAGGCATAATTGACATCAAATTTTGAATTTGACAGGAGTTCAGAAACAGACCTATACCCCAAAAGAAGATAAAAAGACGAACTGACATGTAAATAGTAAAAACATTTTTAGAACATATTGAATCAAGTTAAGAGCTCTTTATCAAGAGTTATTAATCCCAACAGTTCTCTAACTGATGAATGACAACTAATACAGCCCTGTTCAAAATCAACAAGAGAAAAGCATGATGGCATAAATTAGAAAGGCTGTATCCTTACCTGTGCTGATCAGCCATAACCATTGGCATCAATGTGTAAACAGCAGTTTCGTTATCTGAGTAAAAACAAACATAAGAAGAATTAAAGTATCTCCTACTTCTGCAACAATGGCACAAACCATTAGTTTTCTAGCTGCACATAAAAAGTAAAGAGACTGGATAAGGGAAGAATGTAGAACTGAAGATTTCACAACACAGCCCGGTCTCGAACTCACAGAGATCCGCCTGCCTCTGCCTCCCGAGTGCTGGGATTAAAGGCGTGCGCCACCACCGCCCGGCTAGATTTCACAACACAGAATTTCTGTCTCTCTTGCTGCCTGTGCCTTCTACACTGTCAAAGAAAAGCTTAGCTGGTCTACAAGCTAAAGACAAAATTGGAGACCTAGTACTTCCTGTAACTTTAAAAAGTGACATTTTATTACCAAAGACTATTTTTAAAGACATGTTTTATTGTAATTAAGCATAGTTTGGTATTGAAGGTTCAGGCAGGAGGTTTACAGCAGGCAGATTGGGGTTGGCTAAGAGTTCTGAGGGCCAACCAATCATTTCATACACATACCATTCTTCTCATAAAAGTGTGTATGTGCTAAAATAATTTTAAATTCTTAAATGTATACCAGGCATGGTGGATCTACCCATCATCACAGTACTCAAGAGGACTGCTATACAGTGAGCTCCAGGCCAGCCTGGGCTACAGAGTGAAACCTTTTCTCTCAAAGGACAAAAGCCAGAGGAGTGGAAAAGGAGGTTTTAAGAGACAGGAGTAGGTAGGGCAAAAGAACAAATGAGTTATGAAAATAAAAGGAGGAATACTGGGGAAGGACTGACTTAAGCAGGGATAAAGGGCAGGGAGATGGGAGAGAGGGGATGGAAGAGGGAGGCGACCAAAACCAAGTAGTGTAAAGATGAAAAAAATAAAACTGGAACAGAATGGAAAGCAGGCTCGGGGGTAAAGAACAGCAACTGCTCTTCAGAAGAAGCAGAGTTGGGATCCTGGTATCCACGTCAGGCGGCTCACAAGTACCTCTAACTCTAACTCCAAGTGATGTGACCTCCTCTTCTGACCCTCAAGGCCACTCGAACACACTTATGCACACTCTCAAGATACACAAAAATAAAGATCTCCCACACTCATGGATAGATAGGATTAACACAGTAAAAATGGTCATTCTACTAAAAGCAATCTAAATATTCAATGCAATCCCCATTAAAATTCCAAAACAATTCTTTAGAGATCTAAAAAGAATACTCAACTTCATATGGAGGAAAAACAAGATACTTAAAGCAATCCTGTAAGATAAAAGAACTTCTAGAGCTATCACCATCCTTGATTTCAAGCTCTACTACAGAGCCATAGTAATAAAAACCAGATGATATTGGTTGATCAATGGAATTGAATTGAAAACCCATACATAAATCCACACATCTATGGACACATGATTTTCAACAACAACAACAAAAAAAAGCCAGAAGCATACAATGAAAAAAAGAAACCATCATCAACTAAGGGTGCTGATCTAGCTGAGCGTTAGCATGTACAAAAATGCAAATAGATTCATATCTATCACCCTGTGCAAAATTCAAGTTCAAAGTGATCAAAGACCTCAACATAAATCCAGACACACACAGAACCTGGTAGAAGAGAAAGTAGGGAATAGGCTTGAACTCATTGGCACAGGAGACAACTTTCTGAACAGAACACCAATAGCACAGGCACTAAGATCAACTATGTTCAAAGCAGCTTTATTTGGAATAATCAGAAACTGGTAGCCTTGCCTGGTCATAGGAGATGTCTGGTTCAGGCTCCGTATCCCTCAATGCTAGGAGTCTCAACTAGGGTCACTTTTGTAGATTCCTGGGAGTTTACACTGCACAGGTTTCTAGTTTGTCCCCAAGATGCCCCACCAATCCCAGTTGTCTCTCCTAATATTCTCTCCCTCCATTCTCCCTCCACCTGATCCCTCCTGTTCTTATCCTTCCTACCCCGCTCCCGACCTACAGACCAAGGATAGAACCAAACAGAACTGGCAAAAAAAAAAAAAAAAAAAAAAAAAAAAAATCAATGATTCCTAACCATAGCCTTTTATACTCACAGATGGTGCCTAGCCCAACTGTCATCAGAGTGGCTTCATTCAGCAACTGATGGAATTAGATGCAAAGACCAGCAGCCAAACATTAGGCTGAGCTCAAGGAACCTTCCGGAAATGGGGAGGAAGGATTATAGGAGCCAGAGGGGTCAATGACATCACAAGAAAATGAAGAGAATCAACTAACCTGGGCTCACAAACTGCTCACAGAGATTGAACCTACAACCAGGGAGCCTGCATGGGACTGAGCTAGGTCCTCTGCATATATGTGGCAACTGTGTAATTTGTTTGCCTTGTGTGATTCTGAACAGTGGGAGGAAAGGCTGTCCCTGACTCTTTTGCTGGCTTCAGGGACCCTTTTCCTCATACCGCATTGCCCAGTTCAGTCTTAATACGAGGAGAGGTGCCAAATCTTACTAGAATTTAATATACGTTTGGTTGGTATCCATGGGAGGCCTCCCCTTTTCTGAAGAGAAACGGGGGGGGGACCACAGAGAGGAGGGAGGGGAAAGGGACTGGAAGGAGAGAGGGGAAACTGCAGTTGGGATATGAAAAATAACAATAATAATAAAAAATTGAAAAACTGAAAAATAGAATGCCCTAGGCATGATCTACCTGAAAGAGCCAAACTATGATAACTCAAAGATTCATCAAAACTGAAAGACATATAAATTCAAGGAACAAAATGAACAAATTCATTGTAATCAAATGAACATTTGTAATCACAGAGACGATGTAAGAAATATACCATTCTTGCCTAGCAACAAGGGAAAACACTTTATTTTTAGTTGTAGTATTCAAATTTCCAAGCACTCAGACTGCTGACTACAACTTCCCAAAGAACAGGCTAAGAAATGGATAATTAAAGTCTTTTAAATGTTGATTATATAATTAAAATCCTGCTCAACAAACACTAAGGAAGTTGAAGACTGAGTCTTAAATAAAAAGCTGTTCCTCATACAGTCAGTTTAAGAAAAATTAGATGCAAGTTTTGTTTCATGCATCGTACCATGTCCTGTCAAATCATTAAACATATTTAGGGGTAGACACCTGTGATGTTTTCTAAATGAAAATACTGTATGCAATATGTAAAGAAAAAGCTAACATTGTTTACTACGGGGAGTGGAATGGAAGATTTTTTATTTTAATTATCAAAAATTTCTACAAATAGATACTAATTTTAAAACCAGGAAATATTATCAAACATTTATGCAAAATACTGGAAGCAAGTTAGCAATACAAACAGCAATGTCAATAGACAGCACACACAGACTTTTATCAGCTGACATCAGAAAAAAGTGAGAGCAGCCCTGAGTGAAAGAATTCACAGGTGGACATAGAGGACGTTGATGCTGAAGTTTGCTTCCTAAAATCGGGACTATTTTAAATCAATTGCTTCATTCTAGAAAAGCAACAAATACATAAAAACTTCTGGGGAAATGCTGCCAGAAGCTTTCTCTACTCAGAATCAGAGAACAAAATTTTTCAAGAAAATTACCTCCAAATTCGCCAATTCCACATTTCTCCCATCACTCTCCGCAGCTAATTGAAACAAACTTTTAGAGGAAATGGACTAAAACAAACTACGCAAGGAAGGGTAAGCGAATGCCTGAAATCCCAATACTTGCAAGGCTGAGGCAGCAAGGCTCCCAAGTTTGCAGCCAGCCTGGGCTATAAACATCTCCCACGGTCACCAAAACGCCTGACTTCACAAGACAGCAAACAATCTGGCTTCCCCACCCCCAATCTCCTTTATTTGGAGTTTTCCAAAGCCAAAGTCCGGAACAGTTCTTATATTCCTCTGTGTGAATTCACCCAGCCCACTCAGCACGTCTTCATGACTGACTGATGAAGGCAGGCAACGCCTCCCGAAGGAATGCCAACTACACCAACAGCGCGTCAGAAATACCTGTCAGGTGTCTGACAGCCTTGTCTACTGTCAAAACAGAGCGGCGCCCCATAGCCCCATAGCAAAAAAAAAAAAAAAAAAAAAAAGACGAGTCCGTCAGGCTCATCCGCAGCTTAAGAAAGCACTGAGAGTGCCCAGCCGCGCCCGTCCGAGGCGCCACCGCACCCTTTCCCGGCGCGGGGCAGCGCCCGGGCACTTCCGCTCGGACCCAACTCCGGCGAGCAGCCGGGACGCCCGCGCCCGCGCCGCCCGCCAGCCCCCCGAAAGCGGGGTGCGCGTTCTCGGGGCGCCTCACCCTCCGGCAGCTCCACGGTGCGCGCGCGGCGCAGCGAGCGCGTCAGACGGTTGAGCTGCTCCATCGCTCTCTCCATCCTCGGCACGGCCTCCGCCAAGCCCCCGCCGCGCCCGCGGCCTCCGCGCCCCGCGCCCTACATCCCGACCCTGGCCGGGCCCGCGGGACAAGGAGCGAGCTCGCGGCGGCCGGCGCTCGGGACCCGAGGGTGCTACGCCGAATCAGTCCGCCGCACCGACAGCAACCAACCGGACCGCCGAGGTGGGCAGCGGCGTCCGCCTCCGCTCGCTTCCTCGCTCGCGCCTTTCCTGGCGCGGCCCCGCTTCCCTCCTGGGCTCGCAAGGCCTTCTGGGAACTGTAGTTCGGAGCTGGTTGGCCCCACGGAGCTCCGCCTCTATGGCCGCTGAGCCGGGATCTGTAAGACAGGCTACCATCCTGTGTGGAAACACTTTCTGGGCTTTCTCACACCCTCACGTTTTTCCCTGCCAAGTTGTGCAAGAGCTTTCTCCCCCAGTTCCAAAACAGCCCAATAAAGCAGATTAGAGACTTGCAGCTGTTGCTAAATCCATCAATGCCATACTAAAATTGATGCACTTGTTCAGATAAATGAATGCCTTAAATATCATTCTTGCCTGTGTAAAATTTGAAGAGTAATGAGACTCAAATTCGAAATCAAACTATGTGTGTTTTTCCTTCGTTGTTACTTAACACCTTGCTGAGTACATTTCTGAGAAGAGAGAAACGGCTCTATCCTATGCCTTATTGTATAACCCTGACTTAGCACAGGACAGGACGCCAACTCCAAACTTTCAGGAAGATATGATTGGCAAAAGAAAAAAATGTTTATATTCTCAGTTCAAATGGGAACTACGAAGACTGAGTTCATGAGTATACCAAGTCAGAAAAACCATGTCCAAGCTGGGCATGGTAAACCATACAGGTAATCCCAACACTCAGGAAGCAGAGGCAGATGGAGTCTGAGTTTGAGGCTAGCCTGGACTACGTGATGTTTTGAGATGGAGGCGGTATGCGTTTTGAGCCCATCGCATGTAACTCAGGCTAGCCTTGATCTTGATATGCTGCGGAAACTACTACATTCCGGCTTACACCTGTCAAGCACTAGGACCCAGCTGCTCACCGCCAGGCCTGGCAGACACAGCCTTTAATCCCAGCACTCTGGAGGCAGAGGCAGGCAGATGTCTGTGAGTTTGAGGCCGGGCTGGACCAACAGCCTCCAAAACAATACAGAGAAACCCTGTCTCGTAAAACCAAAATAATAATAATAATAAAATAATAAAGTTTTAATAAAATTTAAGCTACAATTGGAAGATGTAGCAGTTAAAAGCACAGGCTGCCCTTGCAGAGAGCTAGATTTGCTTCCCACGTGGCAGCACACAGTCCTCTGTAAACCCAGGTCCAGGGGATCCGATGCTCTATTCTGGCCTCCGCAAACACTGCATGCAAATGGTACAAGGACATACATGCAGGCAAACACATAGGAAAAAAAAAAAGGTTTGGAACCAGAAAGATCGGTCAGCAATTAAGAGCATGGCTCCAAAGTATGGTTCCCAGCGCCCATATCAAAAGCTCGTGTAAGTCCAGCAGAGGGAATGTGACATACTTGAATGCCCAAGTATGATAGTCAAAAATAAGACATTTTTTAAAAAATAGTTTGAGGGGCTAAAGAGATGGTTTAGCAATTAAGAACATCGATACCAGCTGGGCATTGGTGGTGCACACCTTTAATCCCAGCACTCCCACTCAGGAAGCAGAGGCAGGTGGATCTCTGATGGGAGATGCCAGTCTGTGCATCTGTCTCTTATTGGTTGTTGAATAAAGCACTGTTGGCCAATAGGGAAGCAAGATAGGTGGGCCTAGGCATCAAGGAGGATTCTAGGAAAGAGAAAGGTCCGGACCCTTTCTCCAGTAAGAAAAATACTTAGATTTACAATTATGGGGTAAATACTTAAGTCAGAGATAGCCAGTAAGAAACCAAGCAAACGGCCAACAGCTTCATAATTAATATAGCCTCCTGTGTGTTTATTTGGGACTGATGCGGCTCTGGAACCAGGCTGGCGGGAAGCCTGCACTCAACAGATCTCTATGAGTTCAAGGCCAGCCTGGTCTACAGAGCTAGTGCCAGGAGCAGTCCCAAAGCAATACAGAGAAACCCTGTCTAGAAAAACAAAATGAGGGTGGGCAGGCAGGCAGGCATCAGTACTGTTACCAAGGACCCAGGTTTCTTCTCCAATACCCACATAGTGACCCAACCGCCCTATACTAGTTCCAGAGCACCATGTGATCTCTTCTGGCCTCTACAGGTGTTGCATGCACATTGCACACTTACAAGGGGCAGAACACTCACATACAATAAAAGCAATAAATAAAAAATTCAAAAGGGCAAAAATTTGAGCATCTGGAACTTGAGTCAGTCCAGTCTGTGCAGAGTATGAGAACAGCTAACACTGCTGAAGATGAACACTCAAGGGAAGACACCGAGAGGGCCTGGAGGAAGAGAGACACCAAGTAGCTGATTTGCTCAAATTTCTCTCAAAAAGCCCAAGCCTCCCCTGTGATGAACTCATTTGTGCACGAGCCAATCTTGCCTGCTCACCTCGTATATAAACAGAAATTGCTTCTCTGACTTTCCTAAGGTCAAGGGCAGGATGTAAAGATGAAGAAAGTGGCTGGCATGGGTGTTCCACCCTGGGCGGTTCTAAATCAGTTTCAACCACAGCGGCTGTACAGTCATAGGTGCCACAGGCTCGAAGTGGGCCTCCACCATCTTCACTTGACTAGTTGGTTCAGATGAGACAAAAACCAGTCTGGCAAGAAGTTTGAAAAATCCAAAGCTTCAAAGGAAGAACAAAGGCAATAGGCCAACCAGCACACTGTTCTAACTTTGCAACTTGACCAACCCCAAGCAAAAATGCTCTAGCTCTCTTTGCCCTCCTTAAATCATCTAAAATGTTAGTTCCCCGGGGTGGGGTCACAGACCCGCAGTAGGTCATTAGCCTAGCACGCTGGCCTCATCACACACATATGCACGCACACGCACGCGCACGCGCACACACACACACACACACACACACACACTAAAAGGAAAGCAAAGCATGCTCAGTTGTTAAGAGCCATTGCAGCCTGGCGGTGGTGGAACACGCCTTTAATCCCAGCACTTGGGAGGCAGAGGCAGACGGATCTCTGTGAGTTCGAGGCCAGGCTGGACCGACAGCCTCCAAAACAATACAGAGAAACCGTGTCTCGTAAAACCAAAAAATAAATAAATAAATAACCCTTGCGGAAGACCTAGATTCAGTTGGCAGCTCACATGGTGGCTCACAATCACCCATAATTTCAGTTTAAGGGGATCCAGCCCACTTTTCTGTACTCTGTAGGCACCAGACACACGGGCAGTAAATATACATACATGCAAGAAAAATACATGAAATAAAAGTGAATTTTAAATTAATTAATCAGTCAATTAAAGGAAAGGGTGCTTTGGTGACAGGTGTGGTAGCATGGCTCCCACATGAACATGAACTGACTCCAGGCCAGTCTGGGCAAAACAGTGAAAGCGACCCTCAAAAACAAAGGGTAAGTGGAAAGGGTTTCACTGTTATATTAAAGTTGGGCCCTCAGTACTTATCACCAACAATATAAAAATAGTTCTCTGGGCTCCACATAGATCAACTCCAAAGTCCTCTGAGCTTCAAGCCCAGACCTAGAGTGTTTAAACAGGGGTAACCAGCTCCACTCTAAGCAATGTCCCCTGAGTTGGTCATTTTTATTATAGGCCTGAGGCACACAGGTGGAACTTCACAGAAGTATAAATGGATGGTTCCAAATTCTACAATATAGAGCAGTGCTGTGGAACAACCCTTTGTACACTGTGAAGATTTCTCAATCGAATTGCTTTGCTAAAAGTCTGGTTGGCAAATAGCCAGGCAGGCATTACAGGCAGGATAACCAAACTAGGAGAAGGATGAGAGAAGGGCAGAGTCAGGGAGATGCCAGTCAGCCACTGAGGAAGCAGGATGGCAGGAAACAAGTCATGATCCACAAGGCAAAGCACAGTTAAGAAATATGGGTTAATTTAAACATAAGAGTTAGGGAGTAACAAGCCTGAGTGAGCTATTCGGTGAGCATTCATAATTTATACTAAGTCTCTGAGTCAGTTATTTGGGAAGTGGCTGCCAGTTATTTGGGAGCAGGCAATCAAATCAGGAAAATTCCACCTACAAAACAGTCTCCCAAATAGTTCTGTTTGTGATGTATGAATAGGATTACAATAGGTTTATTACCTCTGTCCAGTTGAGAATCCAGCATCCATAGAAAAGCTCTATAATCTGCACAGTTCATAGCAGTAAATACTACCTAATACAACTACTGCATACATACTATGTACATATTACATACATGTGGCTGGCTCAATAAATTTTAAATCCATGACTAAATAAAAAATTAAGACATTGAAGAAAGAATTTAAAGAAGACATCAGAAGATGTGAAAATCTCCCATGCTCATGAATCAGTAAGATTAATATTGTGAAAACAGGCATCCTACCAAAATCATGCTACAGATTCAATACAATAACCTTCAAACTTTCAACACAATCTCATAAAAACTGAAAAAAATAATCGTTAACTTCACATATAAACACAAAAACCACAGGATAGCTAAAACAGTCCTTAATCATAAAAGAACTGCTGGCAACATCACCACCCTCAATTTCAGGTTGTATTACAGAGCTATAGTAATAAAAAACAGCATGTTGCCTTTATAAAAAACATACACATTGACCAATGTAATCTAACTGAAGATCCAGACATAAATCCACAAACCTATAGACAAATGATTTTTTATAAAGAAGCCAAACATATACACAAGAAAAAAGACAGCATCTTCAGCAATAGGTTTTAGTCAAATTGATTGGCTGAATGTAAAAGAATGTAAACAGATTCATATTTATCACCAACTCCAAGTGTGTCACGGAGCTCAGCACAAGGCCAGATATTCTGAATCTGATGGAGGAGAAAGTGGTGAATAGTCTTGAACTCATTAGTATAGAAAAAAGCTTTCTGAACAGGAACTGATAACACAGGCACTAAGAAAACAATAAACAGGGCCTGACATGTTGACACACACCTTTAATCCTAACACTCGGGAGGCGAAGACAAATAGAACTCTGTCCATTCCAGGCTAGTTTGGTCTACACTGTGAGTGCCAGGACAGCCACGGTTATGTAGAGAGACCCTGTCTTAAAAAACAAACAAGCAAAGAACAAGCAATTAACAAATAGAACCTCATGA